CTCAACAGTTCTACCTTTTCTGATGGGCTATTGTATTGAAATGGGTTTATCTTCTCTTCACATCTTTTGTTCCTCTAGTTGAGTCTCCGCCATCTCCTGACCTCACAGTGACCATGCCAGCCTTCTTTATTTTGACTTTGTGCACTTTGACCTGGCATCATAGATGGGCCTAGCTTTGGCATATTACTTGAGTAACATAGCTTTCAGTTCTTACAAGCATCTCATTATATTCTAATCATGTAAATGCTATCGAAATATCAGCAACTTTACATTTACATGTCCTTTAATTCACATGCAAAATAGAACCAAGCTATTTAAAAATAATCGAGCAGACCAAAGAGTGAAATCCTGGCAGATTAAATAAAGAAGCTTAATTGGATACTAGCTGCGTAGATGGCTTATCTTATATCTAGTTAGCTGCTGTAATAAAATTAGTCATCAAATGTGTCAGGACTCTAAAATGTTACTGGAGGTTTGATTTATTTTGTACTTCTGGCAGTTTGAAATATGTTCCAAACTATTTAATCAGACCACCATCATGATATAAAAGTTTTACCGTTTTTATTGCTGGATCTTTCCAAGCACATTTATTTCTACAAATGTGAAAATAACATTTGGACTACTAAAATTTTTAAGAAAAGATTTCTCAAACTTTGACTTAAAAGTATTCTCTCATTTAAACAATGCCAGCTAAAATTGGGAAGGAGCTGTGTCCTGGAAGGTTTTTGGAGATCAACTTGCATGTCTGAAGGCCTGTCCTTGTCATACGTTGTTTTGTAGAGCCAGCTTCTTGATGCAGTTCCTGTTAAGTATGTATGGCCTGATTGGTTTTACTATAGTAACAATGACATTTCCTTCTTTTTCATTGTTATTTGTAGCATGTAATCTGCTGGCCTTGGAGCATTATTTCCCATGAAGCACTTCTTTCTCTCTTCTTTGATATTTTTCTTTGCATCCCCAGTGATCTGTCTTTTCATTAAACTTTCCTTGATAAAGTTCCTTCTATCTATCATGCAGTTTTAGAATGCTCAACATATTTCTTATACAACAGTACGGTATGGAAATGCTTCACTTGGGGAATGATTCTGCCAAATTTAAGTTCTTTAACTGAATTAGTACTTGGAGAAATCCTGAGTCACATGGGTTTCGTGGCCTCTGAGATGACTCTTCGGGTGTTTGTGACCATATTGGAAACTTGGAGATGTTTATGGTTTAGGCTCTTTATCTCTACTTTTCCAAAGTGGCACCCTGAATTCCCTTCAGGATCCCATCTTTCATGGCTGCTGGGCTTGAATTCAGACCCAAGGCTTAACAGGTTGAGGCCGCTTGATAAGCTGCCTCATCACCCCTCTGTGTCGACTAGTTTAGGGATGGGTCTACCATGATCAAAGTCAACTGAAATAAGGAAACATTTGAAGATTTCACATTCTATGCCTGAGAAGCATGGGGGAAAGACTGATGACTATAAGTGCTACAGCAATTTTGTGGCCCTATAAGGGGATGGGCTGAATAGGCTGGGGCGAGGGCTATAGGGTAAAAGGCCAGGATGTGTGAGGGGAAGGGTCTGAGGATGGAGCCAATTCAGTGGGATACAGAAATATAAAGAAAGTTGGAAGCCAGGTTCTTGGGGAAACCGTTGGTAATCTCTGGATCAGTCTACCCTTTAAGCCATTTCTACTCATCTTAGTTATGTGGCCGAGTATTTTTTAAGGTATTTTGAGTAGGATGTTTGTTTTCTTCAGTTGGACAGATTCCCAGCTTGAAGAAGTAGAGGTTGCATTGACATAAGTACAGTAGAAACTCTTAAGTAACCTCAAGTTAAGCAATTTAGTGGATTTAGTGTTCTCCATTTCTTCTCCCATCAGCGAAACATGTAGGCTGGCGTCTAGAGCATGCTGAATGCCCACAGCTAGTAAAATGCATGCAATACACAAAAGGCCATGGTCCTACAGGCAACGATTGGCTAAGTGTTAAAAGAAGGCATTTGGTGTGTCATTTTAAGAATGATTTTTTTGTTCTAATTCATTTTGGTTAATCAACCAACTACACATCATGGTTATATCAGGTACACACACACACACACACACACACAGAGTCAATCAATTCTATGCCCTGTGAAATGGGGTGGGTTATCAATGGGTGCCCATCCATTCTGGTTTGCCGAGGACAGACCCGCCCACTTTACAGTGGTAGTCCATATATGGTAATAAAACTTCCCCTTTGCCCCCAGTTTGGTTGATAAACTATATAGGCATCCTAGTTATGATTACTTAATAGAATTGAACCTATACCTTTTAATTTTTCATGAGCTATTATGTGATAAGAGGAGGCACCTTTAAGCATGGGTCCCTGCCACTCAGGAGTTAGGGTGCACCAGCTACTGAAGGTCCATAAACTCAATCATTTGGTCTCAATTAATTTGTCCCAACTGCTATTGTTTAACAAGCCAAAGAAATAGTTGACAAAAGAATTTGTAGGTTGAGTGAGGTCTGGTGGAAAGATGTCTGGAACCGCCTTGTTAATAGTTCTTGGCCAATATTATTGGAAGCTGGCATTATTCCTAGTGTGTATCATGCTCTTTGGAAGCAGTTTGAACTTCCAGTGATAAAATCCAGGGGGGGTTTACGACCTGTAGATATTCACATGAAACTGGGCATCAAAAGCAAATTCTTCTAGTGTTCTAGCCATGTGAGCCCTGTCCCCTTGTGCCATATCCATCAAAACCACCTCAGCACAATCTTGGCTTCCTCCCCGGAGGGAAGGAGAGGGCGGATTTTCCCTGCAGTTTACTTGCAGAGAACATGCCTGCTTCTTGGAGCATCTTTCTGCACTTTCTCAGCCCTACTTCTGACTTCTGCTTGCAGGCCTCGCTAGGGGTGTAGAGCTAGAAGTGCCTTTTGTATGTGGCCACATCTGCACTCTCACAGCCTTGGGACTGAAGGGCTTCAGGAGTTTGTCAGCTTCAGAGCAGGAAGACATAGAGGATTTTATGCATGATTTTCTTTATACAAGGATTGTGTTTATGTGTCACCTGCCATCCCACACAAGGGCCTGGGATGGCAGGTGACACTGCTAAGGCTTGGGAGTGAGGTACCTGGGAGGAGAGGATGAACGCTGCTACTCTGAGTCACTGGACCTGCGTCCCCAGCCCGTCACTCATGGGCCACATGGATGACTTCATCTCGTCCTGCTTAACCCCTGTATACTTACTTAATGCTTTTCTTTAACTTAACTCTTTATTTTTATCTAAATAAATTCAGCCTCATTCTGCACAGTAATCTGGGGATCCATGGGTTCAATGTGTTGGTTAAAATTTCTCTAGCATCATGAAATACATGACTGGTAAAGACAAGTTTCTTTGTGTGCTACTGAAAGCACTTACATAGGGTGCATTGTGGGGTGTGTGTGTGTCTTTGGAAGTGGTGAGGGTGGGGCATAAGCCTATTTCCATCCACTTCTTTCCCTAAAGAAGCAGAAAACCAAGATTTCTTTATCCTACTACCCTGTTGGTGGCTATCTGTAGCCCAGATCTCAGGCAGCAGCATTCGATTTGAAAAGGGGTGGCCCCCTCGTAGGAATTGAAAAACCAATTAAGGCACAGGGACTAAACCCCGTCATTCTGATCTCCAATCCCAGGCCATTCATTAGACACAGCTCCCTTCCTCACCCCACCTCTTCCAGTCACAAAAACCAAGGCTCCGGGCATCTCAGAAGAAGACAAGAGATTCTGGAACCAGGGGGAGACTGTGTCTACACCTCCATCACTGTGACCGACCCCACCCCCACCGCAGTGTCTGTTACCTGTTAACTGACCGATAGCATAGGTGTGGATAGGACTGGCACCCGGAACGTGGCACTAAGGCGTTCTCGAAGCCAAGCTCAAGGCTGCATGTGGTCTCTACAATATAAATGCCACAGCAGTCAGGATGGTCAGCTCTCTCTTGGCCTGTGGGTGTTGAAAGCCATCAGCAAAGCTAAACTTGTCCCACTTCCCTTTTTGCATGTCCATAATCCACTCATCTCCTCCCTGCGTGATCTCTGGGCCCGCAGCGGTGGTGATGTTCAGGTCTGCTGCCCAGTCCCTCCTCGCAGCCCCGGCTCCCTCTGCCTTTGTCCAACCTGCGGCTCTGTGTCTTTGCACCAGCAATATCCCTGACAGCTCCTTAATTGCTACACGCATTTGTACAGTTCCCCAGCAATTATATTTCAGACCCTGTCAAGGTACCTGCTAGCCTCGGGGCTGTGTTTATATTAAATATCAATAAAAAACTGATAGCATTGGTGTAGATGGCAGGCGCACAGAATCATATTTTCCTGGGAGCCAGGCCTGTCTGGAAGATGGAAGGAAGGGCTGCTTAAATTCCTTTCTCTCTTCTGAAAGGTGGAGATGAGCGGAGGCTGAGTGAGTGTCAGGAATGGGTTCTCACTGAATGATGACAGCTCTGTGTCCTCTAACTGGGTGTTGTCCTTTATTGTGTGTCACTTGTCATAGCATTTGTTTTCTCCAGGATTGCTTCTTTGTATGGCCCCCTTATGGAACACAAGGCAGGGCTTCAGGGACCCTGGATATTTTTAGGTGCTGTTGACTGACTGAGTGAGAGTGTATTTGGCTGTACTGTGAGGGAGAGTGTGTTTGGGACAGAGGCACAGGCTCAGTGGCTCTGAGCCCCGCCTGCCCCATCCTGCGTCTCCTGCATCCCCTGCCCCGCCCTCCTCTGAGAAGCACCTTAGGTGAAGGGACGCCTAGTTTCTAACTGGCTGTGTGGTCTTCCCCTCACCAGACCTTGGTTCCCTCATCCTCCGGACACAGAGTGGGCTTTCCAGGAGAATGAGGGGTGCAGGGCCGCTGCCACCATGTGGGCACATAGCAGCGCCCAGCAAGAGAGCCTCGCCAGAGTTTCCAGCACCCAAATGTGCGTGGCCAAGGATTTCTTTTTCTTATTATTTTATTCTTTCAAGCTGCTGATGAATGACTTCTATCAGTTAGAGACACTGCAAGAATGTCTGGGAGGGATGTACATTCTGAGGACAGTCACTACAGAGCAACTGGTGCTGGCAAATCTGTGACAATCCAGCTGTTTGGGGACAAACTCTTCCCCATCGCCATCGGTAGATCTTTTTTACATTTGGTTGTGATCTACAGAGCACACAGGCTCCCTTTGGGCTACCTGCCCCTGGTGCAGTGCTCTGGAGCCCTGTCCTCCAGGCTTCTGTGGGAGCCTCCCCATGTGGATGCCGGGATGGTGTGGAAGAGAGCTACTCCCTTGGCACAGATGCCTGCCTTCAGAGTGGAGGGCCTGGACTAGCACGTGCTTGGGGAGCACTTCCTCTCTAGATGTCACTGGCTTCTGTTACCCTGACACCCCAGTGCAGGCACCTTCATGTCCCCCTAAAGCCACTGCAGGAGTCTCTAAGTGCTCCCTCTGCCCTGGTCCAGCTGCTGTTGTTTGATTGCTCTCTGAATGGCAAAGGTGTGTACCTGCCCTCTGGGGGCCGTCATTGCTCTGGGGACTGATAACAGATAGTTCTCACCCTGCTTCCTTTGCTCTCACTTAAACTCCCAGCTGGCTCTGCCAGACCCTGCCCCTCCCCCTTTCAATGCTTATTCATTCTGCAGATTCCCGCCTGATCAATGCTGCGTTAGGAAGACCTTCCCTCAAAACATGTTTCCTAGCAGCAGGTTTGCCCCGTCTTATACTAATTACAACTGTAATTTTACATGTAATTAAGTAAGTATTGGGTTCCCTGGCTCCTCCACGGACTGCACGTGCCATAGGGTTAAAGGCCACGTCTGGTTATGCCCCCTGCTTTATCCCCAACTCCCATCTCAGTGCCTGGCAACATAGCAAACACTCAGCAAGCATTTTCTGAATGAATGAATGAATGAATGAATGAATGAATGAATGAATGAATGAATGAATACATACTACATCCAGTACAGGTGCTAAATGCTCCTGGGGATGTAAGAAAGTATGCCATGATTCATACCCTTTAAGCAGGTTGTCCAATGACAGTAGTAACAACTACTATAAATATAACAATTAGAAAGGAAAAAGGGGAAAGCCCCAGTGACACTGGCCAGGGTGCTGACATGGCGTATGTCTTATGTCATTGGGAGCTGGAGGGAAGCAGATTTGCAAAGGGATCCTGGGCTGGACTAGAGTGGCTTGGAGCACCAGGCAGCAGGGGGTGGTCTCTGCGTGATGGGTTAGCAGGAACTGCCGATGCTTCTGGAGCAGGGTGGGTGGTCTGCATGGTGTTTAGCAGAGATTTGAGAGGAGGACAGGGAGTCCCAGGGAGCCTCTGCGAGGGCCTGCAGGGTTGGTGTTCTAGTTCTCCTACGTGCTGGTGGGAAGAGGTGACAGTGCTCACCCGGTCTCCAAACCTGTCCCAGACAAGACTACTCCCTTTCCATCCAGAGCAAGCCCTCAGGAAGGGGGTGGGCTCTGGCTCTTCAGCTCCCTGTTTCTCCAGTTGTCACACGTCACACAGTGTTTTACATTGGATAATGCCAGCATAACCACCATTTATCCAATGCCGTTTTAGAGTCAGAAACCCCTTGATATGTGCTTTCTTTACTTTAGATCCCAAGTCCAAACTCTGAGAGTGACGAAATAGCCTCCTTGGCAGCTTTGCACAGAGATCCTGAGGGGGGTGCACAGGGGGCTCTTGCAGGGAGCTCTAGTCCCCAGCATTACCTTATCTTCATCCACCAGGTTCCCTTCAGCTCACTCATGCGTCCCAAGCACCAGGGGCTGAGCTGCCATGTCAGGGCCCAAAGAATGCCTAACCCCAGTTGCCCTCTCCAGGGACCACCCGCTTTGTTTGCTATAGCCAGCCTGCTTACTCTCTGGCAGGCAGTAAATAAGAGTTCAAGGCCTCCCTTCAAGTCTTCTTCCATCTAATAGTTTGGACAAGGAATTTAGCTGATCTCTACCTCAGGCAAGGTGATGTTCTCAGGCAGTGGATTTCAGTGCTCTAAGGATCAGTTTTCTCATCTGTAAAGCGGGGCTAGAAAGAGATGTCTGTGCCTACATAGAAAGGGTCCTGCATATTGGTGGCACATTGTAAATGTTCCAGAAATGACAATCTGTGCTGCTGTCATCATCGTCATCATCATCGTCATCATTACATTTTATTTATTTATTTATTTATTTACTTACTTACTTACTTACTTACTTACTTATTTGAGAGGAAGTGGGAGAGAGAGAGAGAGAGATTAATTTGTTGTTCCACTTATTTGTGCATTGGTTGCTTCTTGTATGTGCCCTGACCAGGGATTCAACCCACAGCCTTGGCATATTAGGATGATACTCTAACCAACGGAGCTACCTGGCCAGGGCCTCATTATCATTATTTTCATTTTTATTATATAATTTTCTTCTTAATATCTCTGACAAAGACTCGGGGCCCTGGCTGGGTAGCACAGTTGGTTAGAGCGTTGTCCCCGTAGCCCAGGGTTGTGGGTTGGATCCCTGGTCAGAGCACACAAGCATCGACCGGTGAGTGCATGAGTAAGTGAAACGACAAATCGGTGTTTCTCTCTCACTCCTGTCTCTCTCTCTCTCTCCCTTCTCCCTCTCTCTCAAATCAATTTTAAAAAAAGTCAGGGAATGCTTTATCCCAGGAGAGTAAGGAGTGATTAGGAGGAAGAAATGCAGGTTCCTCCACAAAATTTACAATATGTTAAGGGAGGGGAGCTCTAAAGTTCATATATTTAAGGCAAAAACAAACAAACAAGGGGCTTTTGTCGTTGACGTGAAATCCCACTTGGCAATTAACCGTGAAGCCTGGCACACTGAGGTGTCCAGCTGAGAGCCCAGGGCGTCCCTGGACCTGCTTGCCTTTCCCTTGCTCCCGACTTCATCCCGAGTGGGTCAGTGTGGGGCCATGAATCCTCCGCGTCCCTCTTGTCCCAGGGCGTCCAGAAATTGGCTCCAGCTTTGTGAATTCAATGTGAAAGCTGCATTTAATATCTAGCACATCACTAAGTTTAGAAGAAGGGTAAATGTTTGGCAAAAAAACCTACTTTATAATTTAACACACATTAAGGGCTATTTTCCAATACATATAAGTACTTGATAATTAGCATCGAAACTATTCATTATTTAATCTATGATCTATTCAGAGCGAATGGAGAGATGTCATTTACTTGCTGAAATGGGAGACATGAAAACTATCCAGCCATTGTCTTGAACCTGATCCAGCGTGCAGAGCTGAGGGAAACTCCTGCATGGGCTCAAGCCCCCTCTCTGTGCTGAGTGTAATTTCGTATTCAGGAGACACACACTTCCAAAGACCTTTAGAAAAGCCCGAGATCCTTCCTCCAGCCTTGCTCAAGGCAGGAGACGCCTCCCCCCCCCC